GCCATGAACAATTGACCCTTACGTAATATGTTTTCTACTACATATTATTATCAATCAATCTAATATATTTCACGGTAGTTCGGATCAATTACATAAATCATTAAAAAAATGCATATCAAAAAGTATGAATTTGGGTGAGCAAATTGTTTTTTTTTTTTTTTTTTTTTTTTTTATAAAAAAAAAAGGGATGTGTTTCTCGTTTTGATCTATGTGCATTGTCTATCTAAATCCTAATAGCATCAACACTAACACTATATTTTTTTAACATTTGAAAAATAAGGCCCATCAATTGATTATCTATAAAATATCAGCTAACAATCTCTAATGAATAATAAATATACATCTATTATCATAGTTTATGTTCAATAATACATGTATCCTTTATCATGCAAACTTTTGGAAGAGGTAATATCCAAATGGTCAAGATAATAATATAAGAAGATGCTACGGTCCCTGGAACCATTCCGTTGGAGTTTGTCCCGACGGAACGATTTCGTAATGGGACTTAGCATTTCCCAATAATATATATTCTCATACGCAATTATTCATCTACTATTACATGCATATATATATGGAGTTGTGTGCCTCTTCTTCAGCCTTCATACTTTCTGCAATCATCCTCACATTTATGTCTAGTAACATTAATGCATGGAGTTAATTTGCATATTATTTGATAGGTAGCTGGAAGTCAATGATAAGTTAAAGATTTTATTTTTATAAAGTTTTTTCTTTAAATTATAAAAATTAAGTTATGTCTGTATAAATGTAGAATAACTAAGGCGAGCACTAGCCCGATTTCATCATCGACACTAGGGCTGCAACGAACCGAGCGGCTCGTGAGCCGCTCGCATCAAAGCTCGACTCGAGCTTGAGTTTGACCGAATTCGAGTTGAGCTCGAGCGGTTCGAGCACGAACTGGAACCTATATTTTGTACTGTCAAGTGATTCAAAATATATGTGAGGTTACTAATATAACCCTTATATATATTAGCATAGGTGCTTAAAGCTAATTTTGGAACCACTTTGTAATTTACCCCAACAGTGGGGGTGCGTGCGCGTTTATCTTTATAACTCTAAACACATTCCAACTTTCCTCATTTTGCATGATCGACCTCACCTGCGCTCCAATCTTCAACCCAACCAACCCCAATTGCTGCTTATAGCTCTGATAATAAGGTAGCGTCAATTTTATTTATCTATTTACTTTTATTTGAAGTGATCACAATCATATCCGTATGCTATTATGTCTTTTTTTTTTTTCCATCAGGATAGAGCTTATGTATGTATCTCCAATGTTTGTGCTCAATTTGATTTGATGCTTGATTTACTAATTCTGTTGTTGATGACATCAACTTCTGTTGAATTTTTTTAATAGTGCTTTTGAGAATACGATCCAACTAGTCACCAACTTTTTCTGTGATTTGAGTGTGTTCCCTGCTTTTCTGATGAAGACTCAAGAAGCATTTGAGCCCAGATTGGTTCAGGTTTTCTGAAAGCGAAATTTCCAGAAATGAGAATTTAGCTGTAACAGACTGATAGCACTTGGTTCTCCTCCGATCCTTCACCGTTTTGAGCTACCCAAGACCTGCAAAGACTGCCTGGAGATGCTCCCGGCGGTAGAGTGATTAACCTACCATGTTACCAGATTTACCTATTTATATGGAATTTACTACTTTTCCCGTACGCTTTCCTCCTCATCCGTCCCATCATTTATCTCTTTTCTAATCCTGACACTCCACGTGTCCTTTATGAACTACTGCTCATTCATAACCGTTCCATCTGCTCGGTCTTCCCTGGACTTCTACTTGCTATTAATCCCTTCTGCTAGGTCTTACACGGGCTTCTGCTCGGTATCAGTCCCTTTGCTCGGTCATTGTGGATTTGTGCTCGCCAACTTTCCACCTGCTCGGTCTTTCTGGGTTTTAAGTGCTCGTCACCGCCCAACCAAACTTTAACCGAGCTGCTAACAGCCCTTTGTTACGAAAACCGAGCTGTCATCTAATGGACTGCGGCTCAACTAACCGACCAAGTCCCTTCCGGTTTACCGAACTACTATCATGTGCCATATCACAGACTGTTCAAGATAATTTTCCCAGTTACATGATGAGAAACCTGACTATTTCATTCATGAAATGTATGAAGCTTCTATCCCTATGGTTACCTTTACTTCGAGCGTCTATGTGAATAGATGTGCGTGATGTTGGGAATGTATTTATCTTTTTCTAAATTTATGTCTTTTTAAATAAATATATGCCCTTGCAGCTGGTTCAATGTTATCTGGTGCTTGATAACAGTTGTTTT